TTTAGAGGGTTGATTGCAACATCGTCAATACGGCTTGGGCTTACTCTGGTTTCTCCTCCTCATCCTCCTCATACGCCCCACTCCCCCCCCCCCCCACCTCTCCGCATCCGCCCCTCTGCAGGGTTTGGGGGGTCAGTAGCTGCATCCGCATCGTCAGCATCATCATCATCATCGTCATCATCAACATCATCAGCATCATCATCAGCAGCATCATCAGCAGCATCAGCATCAGCATCAGCATCATCAGCATAATCATCAGCAGCAGCATCATCAGCAGCATCAGCATCAACATCAGCATAAGCAGCAACAAAATCAGCAGCAACCTCAGCCTCTTCAGAATCATCAGCATAATCAGTATCATCAGCATCATCATCATCATCATCATCATCATCATCATCATCATCATCATCATCATCATCAGCATCATCAGCAGCAGCAGCACCATCGGCATCATCAGCAGCAGCATCATCACCGACACATGGCAACGTGAGGGTGCACACGCCGCAGCAGAAACGGGGATGGCGCGTAGCGAATTTACTGCGCCAGCCCCGAAGCAACGGCGTGTACGAAAGGGCCCTCGCCCGAAAGTCAAGCAGCCAAGGCACACGCTGAACGCAACAATCCTGACCGTTACAGTTGGCGTCCCCCGAGACACCACGGCCGACGGCCGTGGAGAGGGACTGTATCTGGTGAGGTGCACAACTGGCGCCCTCTGAACCATCACTGACGACGGCACGCGGCGTCAGAGCGGAGGCCACGCAGAGAAGGGGAGATACACGACAACGGCCTCCTCGTCATTACCATCCTCCCCCTCCTCCTCATCATCCGCCTCCTCCTCCTCATCATCCATTTCCTCCTCCTCCTCCTCCTCCTCCTCCTCCTCTTCCTCCTCCTCCTCCTCCTCCTCCTCCTGCTCTCCCTCCTCATCCTCCTGCTCCTTCTCCTCCTCCTCCTCCTCCTCCTCCTCCTCTTCCTCCTCCTCCTCGTCCTGCTCCTCCCCCTCCTCACTCCATTACTCCCTTTGGCGCTTCGCTAGCATGCGGCGAAGTCTGCTGCCTCTGTCCTCCTCCTCCTCCTCCACTTCTTCCTCCTCTTCCTAGTCTTCCTCCTCCTCCGCCGTCTCGTCCTCGTTCCCCTCATCATCATCCTCGTCATCATCGTAATGACCACCACCAACACCACCATCATCATCACCATCCACAACAATAACAACAACAACGATGACAACAACAACAACAACAACAACCATCAAAACAACAACAACCACAACAACAACAACAACGACAACCATAACAACAACAACAACAACAACAACAACAACAACAACAACAACAACAACAACCACAACAACAACAACGACAACCATAACATCAACAACAACAACAACAACAACAACGACAACAACAACAACAACGACGACAACGACGACGACACCAACAACAGTATCAACAGCATCAGCATCATTGTCAGCATCATCAGCATCAGCTTCAGCATCAACATCATCATCATCATCATCATCATCATCATCATCATCATCAGCATCAGCATCACCATCGTCATCATCACCATCGTCATCCGCATCATCATCAGCAGCAGCATCAGCATCAGTATCATCATGATCACCACCATCATCAACAACATCGACATCAGCATCATCAGCATCATCATCGCCATCATCAGCATCAGCATCAGCATCATCATCGTCATCATCATAAGCATCAGTATCGTCATCCTCATCAGCATCAGCACCATAGTCAGCATCATTATCATCATCATCATCATCATCATCATCATCATCATCATCATCATCATCATCATCATCATCGGCATCATCATCAGCATCATCAGCATCAGCAGCAGCATCTCCAGCAGCAGCATAATCAGCATCAGCATCGTCATCATCATCAATACCATCGTCCACAGCATCATCAGCATCATCAGCATCATCAGCATCATCATCAGCATCATCATCAGCAGCATCATCATCAGTGTCGTCACTATCATCAGCAGCATGATCATCATCATCAGCAGCAGCATCATCATCAGCATCATCATCATCACCAGCATCATCACCATCATCATCACCATCATCATCAAGCTTCAACTTCACATGCATCCTCGTCTTTATCATTATCGTCATCATCATCATGGTCGTCGTGAGCATCACCATCATTATCATCATCAGCAGCAGCATCATGATCGTCAGACTCCCCATGATAATTATACCAGAGAGAAAACCCGAATCAATGGATGGTTTGACAATTCGTGATCTGGGTATTGAAGTCGATTGTGAGATCGGTAGTAAGAGCGATAGTGGGATCGATAGTGATTGTGAGATCGATAGTGAGATCCATTGTGAGATCGATAGTGAAGTCGATGGCGAGGTGGGTGATGAGATCGATGGTGAGACCGATCGAAAAAAAAATCAAGCAAGAACCCGGGAACCCGGAAAATCGGGGACCCCGCCGCCCACTGAGATCGTCCCGGGACCAACAACCGGAAATCTGGGAACCCGTAACCTGCAACCTGGGAACCCTGCCGCCTACCGAAAACGGCCCGGAACTTTCGCCAAATCTTTCAATATCCGCTAGGACTGCAAGCACTGATTGGGGAATCATCACCATCTGAAATATCATCATGAACTCCACCACCATCATCGGCATCATCATCATCATCATCATCAACATCAACATCCTCATCTTCATCCTCATCATCCTCATCATCATCAGCATCATCATCATCATCATCATCATCATCATCATCATCATCATCGTCATCGTCATCATCGTCATCATCACCACCACCACCACCAACATCATCATCAGCATCATCATCAGCATCATCATCAGAATCATCATCATCGTCATCATCATCATTTTCATCAGCAGCCTCATCATCATCACCACCATCATCGTCATCAACATTATTATCATTATTGTTATCGTCATCATCGTACTCATCAGCAGCATCACCATCATTATATTTAAAAAAAAAAAAAAAAAAAAAAAAAAAAAAAAAAAAAAAAAAAAAAAAAAAAAAAAAAAAAAAAAAAAAAAAAAAAAAAAAAAAAAAAAAATGATAATCATCATCATCTGAATTATCATCATGATCTCCATCACCATCATCGGAATCAGCATCATCCTCATTAATTTCATCACGCTATGAATCACCACTATCACCATCATCATCAGCATCATCAGGATCATCAGCATCAGTAGCATCATCATCGAATCATCGTCTCCCCTCATCATAGTCACATCATCCTCATCAGCAGCATCAGCAGCATCATGATTATCACCATCATCAACAACATTATCATCATCGTCATCAACAGCAACAGCATCATCAGCAGCAGCATCATCAAATCATCGTTTCCCCTCATCAAAGTCACCATTCCCATCAGCAGCATCACCATCGCCACCATCACCATGATCTGTGTCGCCGTCATACCCACAATTAACAGTTCTACGTCTCCGTGCTTCCCCTGCTCCCCATAATCCTCCTCCAGCCCCACGGAACCTCTGCCTGTCCACACCGCACCCTCCTCGATCCCGGCCAGGGGGAAGGCCTCCATGGCGTTGATCTGGTCGATCTGCGCGGAGAACTTCTCAATCAGCTCCTCGTTCTCCTCTTGCGCGGGCCAGCCAAATCCAGGGCGCGCGGGCAGGAACACCGGGTTCTCGTCGCGATTCTGTCGGCGACGTTTTCTCACCGCCCGTTGATCGCTGAAACTTGGAGGATCACGGCTTTCAGATAGCGCAGTTCCTGCGGTGTCGTCCGATTCCATGTCGCCTGCGGCGTTCGAACGCCCGCGCTGGGGTCGCCGCCGCGTCAACGCGGCGCGAGTCCCCCGTAAGCGGGCAGGGGTCAGCCCTCAGGTCCAGGTATCGTGAACAAAAATGACAAGCCTGTTTCTATCTGGTTCAGCCCCCGGGGAGATCACGGATCGATCCAGCTCGAAATCTGGCAGAATGATGGTGTCGACGCTTCTAGTCGTCGTTTTGTCACGTCGGACCTCCAGGTCCGTGGAGGGACGGGCACCCGAAAGGGAAGAGAAGGGGGGTAACTCGATGCTGGCCGCGCGGTGCCTGGAATACCGCTGAAAGATCCACCATGGCGACGCATCCTCATCGTCGCTTCCTGTCATCGCCCGCAACGCCGCGCATCATCCGCCATGATCACACTCGTGCCAAGCATCGACCCTCTGCTTCGCCAGCCGCGCCAGGTAAACAGGTTTGGGGAGGACATTCGGTTTGGCTGTTATCGGGGCAGGCTCCAAAGCCATGCCTGGCGGGCGAATGCCGCGCCCTGTAGGCGCGGCAGTCGACAGAGGCTTACTCCATGTGACTGCCAAGTCGCCAAGTCTCCTGGGGCAGTGGTGAGGCGGGAGGGGTCCCGGAGAAGCAGGAAGGGGAGGGAGAAGGGGAGGAGGCGAAGGCAGGAGAGGGCGAGGGAGAGGGGGAGATGGAGCGGGAGCGGGAGCGGGAGCGGGAGCGGGAGCGGGAGAGAGAGAGAGAGAGAGAGAGAGAGAAAAAAAAAAAAAAAAAAAAAAACGTGAGGAAGGAGTAAAGAAGGGGAGTACGAAGAGGAGGAACGGAACGGAATGCAACACTGACAAGCCAGGATTACCTCCATATCAAGACTGACGACGAAGCTGCAATTCTAACGTGTTGAATCTGCGTCGCTCGCCTTCACGAGGAGAGTCGAAAGCAACGTGGTAACGTCACATGGCCATCGCATACATAAGACATCAGACAGATGCAGGTAGTATGGGATGAGAAGGGATGTGAGATGAGGAAGGGTGGAGAGCACCGCTGGCTGACGGCAAGACCCACCATGGGGAATAGCCTGGGAGAGCGGGAGAGTGGGAGGCCGACGACAGGGCTGCTCTTTCCCCGCTTTCGTTTTGCAACTCTTCCCCCCGTTCCGCTGCAGTTTCTTGTTTCCAGCTCCGCCGCCGCTCTTCTTCCAGCTCCCGCCCCGGCTTCAGTCCAGGAACCGTTCCTTGTAGCCCGCTACGGCGAACCGCCCCCCACTGCCATCAATCTCAAGATCCATGCTTTGGGGCACCAGCAAAAACACGGCCCAGCCGCTTCCAAGAACCACTCCGGGCAGGAGCGCGCCTGCGCCGCGACCCGCCCTCCCACCGAGACAGGGCGGGCCCGGCCCCGCCCCGCGCCCCTCTGAGGGGGACCAGCTCAGGGGGGAGGGGGAGGGAGAAGAGGAGGGGGACGGGGAGGGGGGGGAGGACAAGCTAGGTGCGCTCGCGTCATATCTGACGTCCTACCCCTCCCTCCCATCCCTTACCATGGCGCTGATTTTCTCTATCCGCGGACGCGTGTCGTAGCGGACCTGTGGCTCCGCGCGCGCGTGCGTAGTGGGTGGTGGTGCACGTGCGTGCGTGCGTGCGTGTGTGCGTGGTTGTCGTGGTGGTGGTGGTGGTGGTGGTGGTGGTGGTGGTGGTGGTGGTGGTGGTGGTGGTGGTGGTGGTGGTTGGTGGTGGTGGTGGTGGTGGTGGTGGTGGTGGTGGTGGTAGTGGTAGTGGTGGTGGTGGTGGTGGTGGTGGTGGTGGTGGTGGTGGTGCTGGTGGTGGGTGGGTGGTGGTGGTGGTGGTGGTGGTGGTGGTGGTGGTGGTGGTGATGGGTGGGTGTGGTGGTGGTGGTGGTGGTGGTGGTGGTGGTGGTGGCGGTGCGGCGCGGTGGTGGCGGGCGGATGGGCGCGCGAGAAAAAGGCCCGCGCTGGGGCGAGAACGCCATCCTGAACGACGGAGGCCAAACACCGATCCGAAAATGAGGCCCACGCTGCAGCGGGAGCACGATTCGGAACGATTCGGGAGCAGAAATGAGGCCGGCGCCTCAACGAGAGCAGCATTTTGGGAAAAAATGACGCCGGCGCCTCAGCGAGAGTCGTTTCCCGGGATTTCCCGGGCATCCTGTGTGTAAAAAAACAGTACGCGGAGGGTGCGCGGCCATCACCCGGACGCCATTCGGAACGATTCGGGAGCAGAAATGAGGCCGGCGCCTCAACGAGAGCAGCATTTTGGGAAAAAATGACGCCGGCGCCTCAGCGAGAGTCGTTTCCCGGGATTTCCTGGGCATCCTGTGTAAAAAAAACAGTACGCGGAGGGTGCGCGGCCATCACCCGGACGCCGATTCGGAACGATTCGGGAGCAGAAATGAGGCCGGCGCCTCAACGAGAGCAGCATTTTGGGAAAAAATGACGCCGGCGCCTCAGCGAGAGTCATTTCCCGGGATTTCCCGGGCATCCTGTGTGCAAAAAAACAGTACGCGGAAGATGCGCGGCTATCACCCGGACGCCATCAGGGGAAGAGGGAGAGTACATTCATATTGAGTAATTGTGGAGGAGGAGGAGGAGGAGGAGGAGGAGGAGGAGGAGAGGGGGAGGGGGAGGGAGGAGGGAGGAGGAGGAGGAGGAGGAGAGGAGGAGGAGGAGGAGGAGAGAGGAGGAGGAGGAGGAGAAGGAGGGAGGAGGAGGAGGAAGAGGAGGAGGAGGAGGAGGAGGAGGGAGGAGGAGGCGGAGGAGGACCAGTGTAAACCCATCACTCATCTACGATGTTGAAATACAACCTCCATCCAAGATCCCTCTTTACAGGCCGCTACAAGGGGTCATTTGCACTGAGGGAATTGTCCAATTGGGGGACAACTGTGTGAACACCTTGAAGCGCGCCAGAACGTTATTCTCAGGAACTCAGCGCCACGAATTAACATTGACTGCTACGTCTTGGCGATCCTAAATCGTGCCAGAACACCTGTCCTGGTGCGTCAGCACCGCAAATCAGCGTAACTGTTGCGCCATGACAGTCCTGAAACACTATATTTCTGGTACGTTAACCGTGAGAACCAATGAAACTCTTGCAAAAGTATTAAACGAATGCGAGCGGCGCGAAGGCGAGAGCCACAGTTTGGAAGGAATCCGCTCTCGATCCGTGAAACTCCTGCAATTGGAAAAGCGCATGTACGTGGCGCTTCGGCGAGAGCCACATGTTGAAAACAACTCGCCCTCAATCCGTGAAACTATTCCAACGGCTTAAAACGAATGTGCGCGGCGCGAAAGCGAGAGCCACATTTAAAAACGGCCCGCCCTCGATCCGCGAAACTCTTGCAAATGTTTAGAACACATGTGCGAGACGAGAAGGCGAGAGCCACATTTTGAAAACCACCCGCCCTCCATCTGTGAAACTGGTGTCAATGTTTAACACCAGGGTCATACATTGTGAGGGAGTATCAAGCGAAACGCCCTGCCCGCCCTTTCGACAGGCCTCGGGGTGCGAAAGGGAGGAGATATCTAGATGGAAAAGAATGGAGGAGGAGGGGGAGGAGGAGGAGGAGGGGAAGGAGGAGGAGGAGGAGGAGGAGGAGGGGGAGGGGGAGGGGGAGGAGAGGAAGGAGGAGGAGGTGGAGGAGGAGGAGGAGGAGGAGGAGGCGGAGGACGAGAGGGATAACAGCTCGAGGGGGAACATGAACATCGACCTGGAATCGG